TTTAAGATAATTTGAAATTTCTATCAGTTTTTATTTATTTATTTTTTTTTCTACCCTCGATGTTTCGAAGATAAATTTGTTGATGATGATATGTCATTCGTATTATTGGCTTCATCTTTTGGTGAATCAGAATCATATTGTATATCATCGTCTGTGTCTGTACTGGCATCATGTGATGTTGATGGTTTTTTATTTGATGTTGCCATTATAGTTTATATTACATCACGTATAATCGATTGATATTATTTCATATATTAAAAACATATATGTATATATAGATATATATATATATATTTTTTCTGGATGTTATGAAGAAAAAAAAAGAGAGAATTGTAAACGAGTAAGAAAAGAAAATGCAAGGAGGAAAAAAAGGGGCATGCACTTTATAACAATGGGCATGGCAAATTTTTTTATTGACTGTAAAAGATGACAAATCAATTGATGATGATGTCGCTATTTGTCAAACGAGATAAAAACAACCATATGTTTATGATTGTTTGAAGAATTTATTATTTATTATTGAAACAGAAATGCCATAAAAAACTTTAGAACAATGAAATAATTCAAGTGAAGTATATAATAAAGACAAGTATTAATTGCTTTTGTTTGTGAATATGCCTCGCCAGATCAAATATTCTATTTCTTGCGATATATTTTTAGAATGTCAAAAACGAATAGGACAGTAACATTATATTATAACAATAAATAATATAGAATTTTTTTCAGACGAAGTGAATATTTATGTAACGAATATATTGAATAATAGGAAAAATATGTTTAACTTGAGTAAGTATTTTTATTAAATGAAAAAACTTATATTCGAAAACAGGAAATAAAATTTTGATAATTATACTATGTTGCATGTTTGTTCGCATTACCATGATATTCCTAATTACCAACGGCATATCAGTAAAAGATTACGATTCCAAGAATAACTATTGATGTTACGTAGTACAATTGTCAGTTAGAAAATGACCGATCATCCACGTACTAAATTATTGCTGGTCAGTTGCCAGTATAACAGCAGTTTTTGTTCGGTTTGAGTTGTATAGAATGTCTTTTTGATAAACATCGTAGAACCAAGAGAAGATTTATATGTAAAGTATCTAATGTATTGATTTATTGATGATAAAGAGAATACTGAGATTGAGTTTGACGTTCTTCTGTCTATTTATACACAGCCAATTGCTGTGCAAAAAACTTAATATCTTAGTCCCATTCAAATTGTTTTGTTTTCCCAATAAATGATTATCTTTTGAATCTTATTACGAAATTGCCTGATGATTGTTGTCAAGCTTACATTCGATATAATTTGAACAGACAAAACTTCGGTTTTTTGAAAGTATTGTATTGTATCAAAACGGCTCAGTACTTTGGAAGTCTGTTAAACTTGAAAGAATGAGTCAATTTCGATTCCTTCGTGTTATGTTGATGTGCGCAAGTCTCTTGTAATAGCCGCAGAGCTCAAATAAGCCCCAGTTCTGAGTATAGATGACGCTGTAAACATATTTATTAGTAGAATATATTTTGAAACCGGCTTTTTTTCTATGAACTTGGATTTGAATAGAAAATAGTATGTAACGGCTTATAGTTGGAACCAAAGATGTACATGCTTCCGGTGGTACTACGAGTAAACGTGCAACATGGGATAGTTTGCCATCGATATTTCTATTAACTTTATCACCGTAATTTTAAATAGTTTCGTTAAGATTACAGTTTAAAAAAAATGGCCTAAACGACATATGACATTTAACACTAGTCTAGGTTGAAGCAGGTGATTCCTCTTCTCAGTTCCATAGTCAACCAGAGATAGATAACTGATAAGGAATCTATTTTACTAATTTAACACGCATAATATTCATTAAATAATGGCAAAAATAATGTTTGTCAAAAAAATGTATTATTTTTGTTTTTCTATAAATGTTTTGGTTTCATGACTATGACAGACATCAATACAGATGATACAAAATTTTTCTTTTGTTGATTTGATGCTATTACTTTGATGCAACAGGATATCTCTACCGAAAACGAAGTGCTTCAAGACACCACCCTATCGATATAAAAGATAAAGAAATAAAAATTGTTTAAAGAGCAATGAAATGGATAAATAAACTCTCAATGGACCATAGGAAGAATTCTTCCTTAAATTTCAACAAAAAGGTCAAGAAAAAAATAATAATGTCACGAAAATATTGTTGATTTTTCTCTTAATATAATAAATATTTTACGAAATTTAAACTGAACAATATAAACGAACAAACATCGAAACAAAATATTCTTGCATCTTCATTTACTATATAAGTTTAACTAAAACATTGCTTTAATCTAATAGTATCCAATCGAATAGAAGAATCTTTCAAAATTATAACCTAATTTCGTTACATTCGAACACTGATGAATTCAGAAATAATTCTCGAAATTTACAAAACATCGTAAGTGACATAAAAATCTTTCAAATTTGGCCTGTAAATACAGTTTTTAACAAACTGAATAATTAAATAAAAAACTATATATCGACTCTAACCTTCTATAAAGACCTGTTAAACTACATGTTGAGGACTCAGTTTCAATTAGCTTCATCATAATCGATCAACATATTACTGATCGAAATCAGATACTCATTCATATACACTTGAATTGTCAAGAAAATTCTTTTAAAAGTAGAATATCATCAACAATAGATCTATAAATTTACTAAATACTGATAGATAAGAGACTGGAATTTGGTTGCAACAATATGAGTTTATTTGAGAAAAAATATTGTCTTTGGTATAATTACCTATTGTTCATATTTTCTCTGCTTAATTGCATCAATAAGATTTTGATGCATATTATGAAAACATTTTTATCGTCTATCATAGACAAGATTAATTCGTATAAGAATTTTTACATGAAAAGTTCATCTTCTTAAAAATTTCAATGTACATGATCCAACATCGATTTTTAAAGCAAATAACTTTCATAATTATCTGCTTACTAATAAGAGACGACAAATTTCATCAACGATGTTAGTTACCTTAAGATAGAACAAGACTTGTCTCTTCCCGTCAATGAGTTTTGTATTTTATATTGATAAAATCTTGAATATCAACAATAATAATTGATTTTGTCACGTGTAACTCAAATTAACCGATGACCATGACGAACAACTTTCAACGTTTGTTGAATATAAACAAAAAGAAATATTTCTAATTGCAAATAAATGTCATCCAAAGAGTCAGTTGTTGATTCTATTACTACAATTCGTGGTAAGGTCGAACATGTATATTCAATTATAGCGTAGTATAAAACGGATGTTATACAGATAAGATATATCAATAACAAATTTTGATGTATTAATCATCACAATCATGAGTACAAGAAAACGCTATCAACTCATACAAAAAAGTGTTCGAAATTCATAAAAGAATTCTTCCGTTGAATTATAGTTTTTTAGCTAATGCATATAATATCTGTTTAGTGTATATATATGAGAACATTTTGAAGCATTTCCTTTATTCATAAAAGCACTTCAAATAAAAGAAGAAAAATGTTTCTATCATATCATTTGTTCTGAACTCATACATATGTAAATATCAGTTTGTTGATTTAATGAACACTGATGTGATTTTAAAAATAAAACTTCTGTGACTTTTCCTATTACTATTTTTTAGTATAGACTGGAATTTTTCTATTGTTGAGTTTCTGTTGATATACTAAATATATTATTTAATTATGTCTTTACATATCATGTCTCATGTATTAATAAACTAGATATTTACGTTAATTTCTCACTTGCTAAATTAATCTTCATATGTAATATTAACATTCATTAATATTATTTTATTAATCAATTTAGAAGTTAATATAATATTCAATTTATCATAACATTATATAATATGAAGTAAATAATGCACTGATTACATATTTTTCAATCCTGAAGACAAAAGAACAACACATGATACTGATAAAAAAAGAGCAAACAATATGTTGTTTTTGTTTAAAAATACGAACACACAAAAAAACCCATATGACTTGTCTTATCATTATTTACTCTGAAGTTTAAGTACTAAATATAATTTACTTCTAATAGTAGTCAGTTTACGCATAATAATATTGTTAAATTTGGCAACTCTCTTTATCTTGAAAAGACGTTCAAGAAAAGTGGAAGAGACAAGACTAACTACATCCGAACATGTAGTACGATTTATTTGTCATTTTTCACCAAATTTTCCAGTTCAATATGTTTTAGTGAACATGTTCAAGAAGATAATTTCTTAAAAGTATATTTGATTACATTGAATTTTTCTAAAGCAAGTTTAGAAACTGAACGTCGAAAGAAGAGAATCAGTCACAATGGAGATTTACGGAGAGAAGAGAAATCAAAAACATGCCATTTTACTTAAGATCAACTAGTTCAGTTCTAGTTTGGATTTGAAAAACTATTGAAAACATGTGCTGAGCTGGTTAGTTTGAAAAAAATCTCTTTCTCTCATTTCATCTAAGGTTTGAATTAGGAGATGATCGATCCGTAAACATTTGTGACATACGATCTAATGAGAAAATTGAAGTATATAGGATAGAAATTTGAACATCTCGCCTTCTAACAAATGAACTACTTTCTTATTTTGTTTCATATTTTAATTTCGCAGCTATTATACTAACAATTGTTCACCTACATGTTCCTTTATAGACGACTTTAAAAAGGAATGATCGTGAATATAATTAGTTTCATAATATTCAAAAGATTGCTCGTTTTTTTTTCAAATATCGAACATTGTTAAATCTATCTCTAAGAAGAAAAAAAAAAGCTTCGTTTATTACATTCATAAATAATTTAAATAAAGAAGAAAAAAAATCAACTTAAAAACATTACATATGTGATTTTGTAAATCATTAAAAAAAATATTCGTTTTTTTTTTCTTTCTTTCTTTTTTGTTTATCTCTTTTTCATATGCATAAAAAACAAACCGATAAACAATGACTAGTTGACAAATAAAATCAAAATTCTATTCTCAATATTAATGTTCAGAATCTTGAATATCATTCATATTCAATGAACGTTGTCTTTCATATTGTCCTATCGATCTTCTTCCATCATTATTTCCATTATCATTATAAACTTCTTGCCAAATATCAGCAAGACATACACTTGAATGAAAACGATAAAATATTGATAATGGTGATGTAAATGCTTGAATAATAGCCCATGTACCAGCATCATAATATTCTACTTGTATAGGATTTAATCTTACTTTTTTTGCCGATAATGAATCATGTAACCAAATAGCTAAAAATAAAATAAAGATGAAATTTTATTATTAAAAATAAATGAAAGAAAGAAACATTTTCATTCTTTTTCTTTTACCAAGATTTATTAATAATAAAGCTGTAATTGTTTCTCGTCCTGGTTTATTTCTAATTTCAATTTTTGTTTTTACATGTCTTTTTAATGTATCCAAAATAAAACCTGTTTGTAAAAATGTTTGAAGTATAGCTAAAAATCCAATTGATATTTCAATACCAATTGGTAATTCATTTTTAGGTCGAACAACAAATATTGATGCAAATAATCCAAAAAATGAATATGCAAAATCACCAAATGTTGTTATTAATATTAATACACGATCAAATGCATCAACATGTCCATTTGGATTATGATAAAGTTTTGTTGTATGCATAAATGACATACAAACAATAAATAATGAAACAATAAGTAGAACAAGTTCAGTTATATGTGTTACTGTTATTGCATCATTATCAAGTAGATATGTTGGTATAAGTGTTAAAATTGTTAATAAAAGTATAATACCACCAATAAGTAAACCACGTGATGCACGTGCACAATTAACTGTAAATATATGACGATCACCAAAACGTAAAAATGATGGTTCTCGAGTTTTACCAACATTTCTCCACATAAGAAAGAATATAGTTAATGATATAAGACTATATTCTATTAAACATGGATATAAATAAACATTTACAGCTGATTCAATTCGTTTTATAATATCAAGTGTATTTCTGTTTAGACCGGTTCCAATTTGAGTAGTAGCAGACATTTCTTTAATAATATTCGTCAAACTATTATTAGTAATATTATCATCTATCCATGTAACTTGAAATAAAAAGAAAAATTATGATAAAAAATTATTTTTTAAAAGAAAACTATTTTGAAATCTAGTACTATTCGTTTATAATTAGAAATGTGTGAAAATCAAGTTTTTCTGGTTTCGAGTTCTACTCTCGGTTCGACAAAACTATTTCAGGTTTTATTTATATTACATCTAAAACAAAATTTTTGATTATTTTTATTGATTCAGTTGACAACTAGTACTTTTTTTGGGTCTTCTTTCTTAACTTATGTTTTGATTGATATGATTTATATGATAATTTGTTAAAAACCCTAGAATAGTTAACTATAATCTTCAGTTTTGGTTAGGACAACCAGGGAGGGGGGGAGCAATTACCCATTGTAATTTTTATTAATAAGTTTTTTGCCCATTGAAATTTCACCTTTTAGGGACAGCGCAAGCGGGATAGGAAATTTTTGAAATTTAGATGGGCCCTGAGGAAAGGTACGGAGACCTTCGCGAAGCTACCCGCATTTCTCCGGTCATCGGTTTTGAAAAATTGGAAAATTTGCACAAGCTACTTCTGGAAATCTTCTTTTTTTTATTCGGGGAGTCGAAAAAATGACAAATGATGACATGGAGGAAGGAGTTCAAAATATGATGACTTTATATGTGTCCAAGCCTATCAATACTTTGTTGGTCCAAACAATTTTTGACCTATCAATAAAACACGTGCCCGTTTTTGCCCATTGGTCTAAAAATCCTGGTTACGCCACTGAGAACAACTTCTTTCTTTCACTATCAGTCTTAGTGAACTTTCAAATTTTCGTCCCGTACATCTCTATTCATGACATTCTACTAGTCTTCAATCAAGAACTACTGTCGTTAATTGTTTGTTGAGATGATTATCTTGATTAAAACCTATTTTTGAATCTAGAATTTACTAAGAAAAGGAGTAAGAGAAAGTCGTCGTCCTGATTCACTGAAGAGAAGTTTATATTAATACAATGGGGAACAATGGATTAAGATTGTCTTTATGTTCATCCTAAATTATAAGTACATACAATCGAATGCACAAGTGATTTTGATAATTTATAAGGTATGAGATTGTGAGAGAGAAGAACATTAGTATTACTACATGATAACTGCTTTTTGCTGACTCATGCTAAAATAATCAAAAAAAAAAATAGAATGTGTTATTTACAATCTGAAATTATATCTATAAACAAATTTTAGAGTTCGTTAACAGCGCAAAATAAGATTCGAATTAAATAGTCCAAAGCCTGGATGAAGATTCCTAGACCATAGCTCATTTGGTCGTTCTTAGTCTAATTAAAATTCATTATGAACAAGAAAATATATATTTGGGTGGAAAGTTTTAAAAAATTTCAATGTTTAAAAGTTCTCTATTTATACATGGAACTTCATAACCATAATGCTCCATACCATAACATATGTTACTAAAATATGTATGACGATGACTGAGTTTTTCTCAACATACAAAAGTATAGATCAAATATGTTAAATATTTGTATCTCTCACTTAACAAATCCTATGTTTTTATATACCAGAAGTTGTGATTGTGGTCGAGTATGTCATATTTGTCATATAACTTGATGACGTAATACTCTCTGGTGGTTTGTGCAATTGTTCCAATGTTTCGAATACAATAGCTAAAAGATGTAATATTCATTTTGTTTTTTTTTTTGAATATAATTGTATTCTTACCTTCAAACCATGTACAAAAATTAGCAATTATTAAATGAATAAGACCTATTTTAGCTATATAACGATAACGATTAATTACAATCTAGATATAATAGTAAAAAAAAAAACAAAGAAGTACAAATTTCTTATTCAATTTTAATAATCATATACTTACATTTCCATATCGAAATAAAAATGTAAATTGTACACAATGAAAAAAAAATCGAAGTACATAAGTCATTGATTTTGTTACTACAACTGATGAAGGATATGAAACGACTGGTGAAGAACGAGTGTTTGGAGAACTTCCTGTTGCAATTGTTTTTGCTAATTCAATCACAGTTAAAATTAGAGTACCCATACAAAATACTAGAAGAAAAAAATAATAATAATGATATCTTTTATTTATTCGATTTTATTTTGAACACTTACATCCGGCACCAATTCTCATAAATAATCCACCAGTATTATGAATATCAGGAAAATAAAACATTTTATGTGTATGACGTTCAGTTATATCCATATATTCTTCATTACTATGAGCAGGTGCTGTTAATTCTCTCCATTGTCGACGAAATTTAATTATATCAAACGTACACCATACCATCCATACAATAGAAACAAGATAAACATAACTATAAGCAATCTAAAAATATAAAACATAATCACAGAATAGAACGAAATTAATTTATACCTGCATAGTTGTTCGAAGATTTGATTCATCTTCTCGTATAGCTAAAACAAGTACCATACAAAGAATAAAAACAACAAGTAAAGCACCAGTTTCCATCACAAAATTTGAAATTGGTAAGAATCTTTTAGGTGTATATCTATGAAAAACAATAAATATATATATATATATCATTAATTAACATAAGAATATAACTAACGTTTGTGTTTCATCATGAATAACACGTCGTTGTTGTGCACGATATACTAGAGCAGAAGTTGGTGGAGGTAGTGGTGGTGGTAGTGGAGGTGGACGATTAGAAGAATGAACTAATTTATTTCCATTTTGTTCTTCATTTTCATTTCGTTCATATTGTGTAATAGTAAATGGTGCATTTTGAGAATTACTACGACGGTTATATTCTTCTCCATAAGGAGTCATAAGATTTCGTCGATTTGCTGGAATTGGTGAAGGTATTTCTAAACCAACACTATCACTTTCAAGTTCAGTATTTCTTGATTGATTCTAAAATAAAGATATTTTCTAGATAATTTTATCATAAAAATATATTTATTTTATTTTTTACTTTTGATTTTTCATCTCGTTGTCGATGAATATTTTTTGTTCGAATATTATTATGAGTTTGTATTGATGATGATATTGGAAGTTCTTGAGAAATAACAACTGGTTTAGTATAAGGTATAAATTTTCCGAAATCTTCAATATCATTTTCATATTGTAATTCATATAAATCATTTTCTTCATTTTCATGTTGATATTGATCAAATTGATTATTACTATTTACATAAAATGAATCATTGTTTACATCTAAATATCAACAAATGAAATTTAAATAGAATAAATATTTCTTTTTTTTTTTTCAATTAGTAAATACTTTGTTTAACTTTTGAATAATCGATAGTAGTTGATGGAATTGGTGGTGGTGCTCTTCGAGGACGATTTTTTGGTTCTGATTTTTTTTTTGTTTTTGATATTCGAGGAGAAATTATTTTCGTTGATGAATTCTTAGTTGATATTTCTTGTGATCGTGATCTTATTCGTTCTATTGGTTTTGAACTAATTATTTTGTTACTATTTGTTGAATGAATTGATGAATTTATTGATGATGTAGAAGTTTCATTTTCATGATTATTTCTGATTGGAACAGTTATAGGAGGACGTGGTGGTGGTGGTCGTATTGCTGGTGGACGAGGAGGTAGAAATGCTGAAGATAAACCATTAGATTTTTCAATCATATCAAATTTACGAACTGCATGACGAACTGGAGAATAATTTTGTTTTAGAAAAGAACGTTCATCATTATGATTATTTATTATTCTTGATGTTTGTTGCAATGTAGACGGTGTAGAGAAATGAGACATTTTAAGAAACACTTCAATACTCAAATTTTAATGTTATTTTGATAATAGAACATGTTTGAATATGTCGCTAATATGCAAACACCTTGGTTGCCAATGACAAGAAAAAAAAGAAAAGAAAAAAATCTTGTACTTATCATTTCGTTGCACTGCTTATTGATATCATATCTTTTTTTTCTTTTCAACATGAATTACGTAGGCGAAACGCTTACTCAAAAGTATATTCATTTCATTTATTTATTTATATAAAATTGCAATATTTACATGAATAGATGACTATGCGTAATATACATCATTTCCTGATCAGTCATTTGATAGAAAGTCATATTGTTATTATTGGTCGATACAAGTGTATTTTTTTAATCTAACTTTATAATTATATTGTTTTTTTGTTATTGATTAATAAATATTTATTTTACTATGTATTCATAACATTTTGTATACATTTTTAAGATTGGATAATTTATTAAACTAGTAAATGAAGTGAATTAGCAAAATCTTTTATTACAAAGAAATAAAACGTAAATAAATTGATCTAGTTTGTTTAAATTTAAATATGAATGATATACAATTATGACATAATTATTTGAATAGAACATATGTTCGATTATTGTTTTTCAACAAGCTTTAAATTATATGATAATATAAGAACATTATGTAAATACTAATGTCATACTATTGATAGAGTCATTACTATGTTAGTTAGAGACTATTATTATGTCAAAGAATATTTGTATGTATAAATTGAACGACTTTCATTAAATTCAAAAAGGGATATAATATTTTTTTTTTATAAATAAAATTTTAAATGTATCAAGCCGAATGATCTTAGAAAGTTTTATTTAATATTTCATTTTCAAGAATAAATGGTGATAGACTTGCTTATTTTGTCTAAAAAGTTTGCCAATTAAAGAGAGCTTTAGTGTTTTAATTTGTTCAATATTAGTTAAACCTAATAGTATGAATATCTGAACGACCAGAATTCATCAAAAATTTTGGTAAACAAGCAAGTGCCAAAAAAAACAACATGTCATTTATACAAAGTCAAGTATGGAGCTATTTTGCGACACATTTATCTTAATCTTCATTTTTCCTTTGACGATGATTGAATTTTTGTTTTTGAGAGAGTGAATGGCCTTAAGATATATAGGTGTGCATAAAACATATTAGAGAAAATATATGAGTATCCAACTAGTTTTTGAAAGACAAGACTTTTTAATGGATTTTATTGTGCTAGCTTTGGTCGAAGAACGCTGCCAGCAAGCCTCGCCAATGTTTCCAAACTTTTAAGTTCATATTTTGCTCAATAGCAGATGACATGCAACAAGGAGTAGCCCCTCAACTGGTTCAAGACCTGTGAGTCAGAGCTATGTAGATCATGTAAATTCTAATGAGCTATAAATATCCTGCAATGAACTCATGAGAAACTAGAATTTCGGCCCACGGACTTTTTCTCCTGGGTTTGAGCTCGAATCGAATTTCTGGTGATTTTTCGAGCTGGGTCGAAAATCCTAGAGGAATTTCAAACCGTGGCCTCATTGATCCCTAACATAAAAACTTAATTTTTTTAAATTAGTTGCTGCATATCGCAGAGATGGAACCGGTCCAGACCAGTAAAACTGGCTTACGAATAATACATCGATTCTTACAGCGAAACTTCTTTTTATTGTATCTCTCGCAAGTTACAAACTTAGCTGATGATTCAGAAATATCATAACAATTGCAACGTGATGCTGTTGTTCAATACGGCAGAAATGGAACTGGTCCACTTTTTTCTCGGACCGGAGCGGCCGGTATACCGGTAAAAACTGGTCTAACCGGTTTACCGACCGGAACCGATTTACCCGAAAAAGTTGATCTGACCGGTCTATCGGGCAAAACTACCCTACCGGTACTAAACAGAATGCTAATGATACGTCATTTTATAAGAGAAAATCCGATCTACGGACAAAATATCGATCTACAGACAAGAGATTGAGGCTTGAAATGAACCGTGTTTCATAGTGAATTCGCTTGCGAGCTACTTTTGTATTTTCACGCATACTGGCATAATGTTTCACTGTTGATAACAATAGTCTCATTGGTTAGCATTCCGAAAACTGTTTGTTAAATAAATTTCTGTGTGATCAGTGGGACTAGTCTTGGTGCCAGTGGTTTTTTTCATATGAATACCATCATAAAGCAGGAAAGTGAAAAATATAGACCAGTTTAGACCGATCAGACCGTTTTAGACCGGTCGATCTAAAATCCAGACCGGTACCGGACCGGCCGGTTATCCGTACTGGTTCCATCTCTGGCATATCGTATTCCCCAGCAGGACGTTAGAATGGATCTGGAACTGAGATGCGGGTGTGATGTGTGGAAGTGTCTGGGTCTTGTTTTAATTGATACCCATACCAATTATGATGTCCTGCTCAGCACTACGAGGTCTAGCTACTAATTAAGACAATTAAGTTTTTTATGTTAGGGGCCAATCAGACCACGGTTCGAAATTCATGTCCTTAGCTTATTGCTATGGAGCTATTGGATTTTTTTTAAATCGGAACGGTGACCCTTCTCAGAAATATCAGAAAAACTGATATTCGAATTTATACTTGAAACTTTTTGATCTGCTCCTATCTTAAACTAAAAGCATGGAATCTACCAAGACATGCGTGATGCAAAAGACACACTTTTATCATAGCCATATCTTAAGATAAGAGCAATGAAACGATCAAAAACTTTCAAAACAAACTTCTCTCACTAAACATCTTTCTTGGTACAAACTTTCAAGTCGAAATTTGAAAATCAGTTTTTCTGGTGTTCTTGAGAGGGAATCACACCTATGACTTGGAAATACCGTCAAAATGTAGTATTCCCACGGCAATAATCTAAGAGTCCAAACTCTTTTAAGAATATTTATGGCTCATTAGAATCTTCCTAATGTACATAATCTCCATCAGATTCTTCTTTTTATTCGGATTTGATGAAGACATAAATATATCAAAACGCATAGGATTTTGATTGTTTTTATCAAAATATTGTATTTTGAAACACTCATATCTCGTTAGAATCTTAATGAAAGGAAAAATCGATTGGAGATTGTACTGATTCAGATATCTTCTATTCACTGGTCGAAATATGAAATAAAAGTGTGGATGTTTGTTTCTGTGTGCATTCACACAACAAAATTTATCAATAAAACATTTTTATAGCAACTAATGTGAGAAAATTACGCGAAATAATCACTTCTGTTCATTGTCAAACAGTAAAGATCATCGGTATATGGGATTAATTAGAAAGTCTTTTCTCGCCATATTTCAACCAGTTTATCATTGCAAAAAAGACACTCATTTTATCAGATCTGTAGCATTTGATCAATACTTTTGAAACTAAAAACTTCGTATGCGTTCTAAATTTAATGGTAGAAATCATTGATACTTAATATCATGTAATATTCTATAAATGATACGAGGATGAATATATACGAAACCTCTTGATCATCAAGTTTTAATTTAAATTCGAAGATATTTCTATAGTTTTCTTCAGAATTTAATTGCTCTATTGAATAATATTTAAATTAACTATGAAATCACATATATATTTTTTTTGAATTATGATGAATTTTTGTCTCTCGCTGTAGTTCCTATAATTTCCCAAAAATAAGTAAAAATTCGATTGATCAAGCTAAAACTTAAAAGAACAATTATAAAATTTATATTTTACCATTAATTAAAATTTCAAATTAAACTACTTTGACTTTCTAAATGAGCCAAAATTGTCCCAACCTCCCGCCCCTTCTCTTTTTATTTATTTCATAGACTCGTTTGAACAAATTAGTTTTTATAATTTCTACCACCATATATACATATTTTGATCCAAATATTCTAATACATAATCATCTAGAAATGCATCTAGATTCATTTTTGTTCGTAATTTTTTCACTGTCGTATAATTAACATCTCGAAAACATATTGAAGAAAGATGATGATTACATGGTGATCGAAATGAATTTAAATTTTGATTTTTCATACAATGTATACAAGCTGAATATTCTTGTTGCCATAAAATAATATTTTTCATATATGAAGATATTGATAAACGATTTTGACAATTTCGATTTGTATTTATTCGTAATAAAAAATGTAAAATTAATTCTATATTATCTTTATCTGTTTGTATTTCAAGATTATGTATATATGGACAAAATCGATTAAGTATTTGAATATCTTCTAAAGTACATTGATTAATAAGATTAATATTAATAATATTATATTTATTGAATATTAAACGTTTTGTTTCAGATTGTGGTGAATATAAATAAAGTATACTTGTTGGAATTGTTAATGATTGTATATTAGGATAATGATCTAAAAATAATTGTAATTGTTCTAATCGTATACTATTATCAGAAATAATTAATGTTCTAAGTTGTATAGGTAAAAATATACGAGTAAGATCAAATATAAATGAAGGACTTTGATTTATATTATCTCCAGAAAGTATCAATCGATTAATTCGTGGAAATTGTATTGAATATGAAGTTATTGATGAATAATTATGAAGAGCAACTTCATGAGCTAAATTTAAACCAGTTTCATTATATTGACATCTATCTTCATAGAAATCATAATGATTCCATCTATATAAGAGAAAAAATTCATTAAGTCTTTTCTACAAATAAAATACTTGAACGTGTTTTTAAGAGGTAAAAAAAAAACAAAAAAAGATTTTCTCTAAACTATGTTTGCTCGGATATATTGGTCACTACCGTACAAAAGATAGGCATTCTATGCAAGAATCGAATTGGTACACTAAAACGAAAGCTCATCACCTATGCAAGTTTTTCTTAGCGACGAAAATCAAAAATTTTCTTGCTTAGAAAATTCAATTTCTGTAAAGCAAAAAAAAATACATCTAACAATGTATTCAAATGTGTTAATCTCGAAAAAAAAAGAAGCTTTTTCGAAGACTTAAGACTTCTCCTCAAAAAAGTCACTGTCCGTCAAAATGATCGAAGTGCATAGGAAAATAGCCTGTCATCTGCTCTTTTATCAATGACAAAAATTTTTATTAAGTACTTCTTTTTTTTCTAAAAAATTTGGAGAATTTTCATTATCCTCTATTCGAAAAACAGGTTATTTTTTTACAAAAAATTGGAAATGATTTTTCGCTTTTCTTAGAACGTGAATTCAATGACGTATCTCCAGCAGAACTCTAACACAGTAAAAGATAAAGTCAAATATTTTTTTTTTTGTTTTGAAAGCTTATCTTCAAGGTTAGCGACTCTCGTGGCCCTTTTTTTAAACTTCACTTTTATATTATCATAAAAGATAACATCTCTATCGGAACAATGTAATTTTTAGAGAGGTTTTTTGAATCATTGAACTTTCGCTTTGTCTTTTTTCCTTAAAAAGTAAGACTTTTAAAAAAAAGGGCCACAAGAGTCACTACATTCTGACATGCTCTTTCAAACAAAATAAAATAAAATATCTAGAATGAAGACTCACAAAGAAAACTTGGAGATACTATAGAGCTATTTTTAGCCTTTGTTTGGTGCATATCTCTGTTAAACATCATAATACATAGCAGTGGCGTACGCAGGAGGGCCGAGGGGGCCCGGGCCCCCCCTTGAGACGAAAAAGTCCTGGAGGGGGGTACAGGAAAAAATATTTTCACGTGATAAAAAATTTTTTGTGCCATGGCCGGCCCCCCTCCCCCTTGAAAAATTTCTGCGTACGCCACTGATACATAGCTAAAAATTTTTACTTTATAGCTTACCAGCCCCCAACATATTTTGAAAGTTTTATATACTTGGGATGTTCCTGGACTGAGATCCATTTTTGAGGGGGGGGGGGACCTTAATCTACACAGTGTGTCATATTATGTGAACACTTCTAAGAAGTCCGAAAGGTTATATTGTATTTTCTTTTATTAGTTAATATTTTGTACCTATATGGTTGTATGGAATAAAATATAATCCAAGAAGTAAAATCTTTTGATTTATAATGTTGATGTGTAAAAAACCATTTTCGATTAATCCAAAATGATGATTTAAATTTGTCAATTAATATATGATATCTATGATAATCAAGAATATTTTCATCTGTAATTATTTGATGATGAAAATCAAATCTATGTAAATTAGACATTTGACATAAAATTAATTGTTCCCATCGATCAGCATTTAAATATTCAATATCACGTTGTGTATAAAGACGTAAAATTTTAAGTTGATGTGAAAAATATGAAATAAAATATTCAAATTCATCAAATGATGTATCTTCTAATTTAAGACAAAGTTTAATTAAATTATTTGATATAATTGATATATTTATTTGTTTGCTATTTAATGTTGATATTTTACATGATAAATAATTAAGATTTGGTATATGAATAAGAAAATCATTTAATTGATCAAGATTATATTTTGTATCAATAATAAGATATTTAATAGGACTATATTCATTATTATTTAATGATAAATTAATATATTGATTCCATAATTCAAATGATAATTTACAATATATTAATACAGGTAGACGAATAATTAAAGAAAAAATATCATTTGGAGATTGTATTTTTTCAATACTAGTTATTGTAAGAGAATAAAGACATGGTAATAAATTTAGAGTCTTAAGAATAGATATAAGATTATCAGATTTAGTATTTAGTAAAATTAAAGCTTCAAGACGTTTAAAAGATGAATCTAAAGTATATGATGTAAAGAAATAATCAATAAGAAGATGATTTGAAAATTGAAGAGATATAATACGATGTATATTTGGTATTAAAATCGTATTACATCGATATTCAAATGTTGTTTTTGATAGATAAGAAAAATTTAATTTCAATGGTAAACATGAATGAATAATAAGATAATTAAAACGATTATTAAGATTAGAAAATATTTCATATATATCATAATTATCAATAAAATCAAATATTTCATAAAGAATTTCATTTGAAAGATCTTCAAAACATGTTATTATTGATCTTAAAAATAAAGTAAAAAATTCAACAAAAGAAAAACCTTGTACTCTATACTTACTTCATTGGTTTAATTATAGATTCTTAAGTGAAGAAAATACAAAAAGAAATATTAATGATCATAAAAAAGAAAAATTTTTCTTTTTTACTTGATAATCTATTTGATTGTGTCATGTTAATAGAAAATTCTTTTTTAACAATATCCATTAAAAGAATTAGATGAAATAAGTCGAGAATAGAATTAAAATGGTTTCGTTTTTTTTTCTTCTTTTTATGTGCAACGTGTCTTTCTCTTATCAAAACATCATAGAGAAATGTCAGTAAAAAATAAAATATATTTACTGTTGAAACATGTTTTTTATTACGAAGCATTTTGATTTTTATATTATCATACATAAAATACAACTTGCTTGAATTTTTATATCACATAAAAATATTTATCAGAACAATATTGACAAAATTTTTATATTTTAAAATTTCTCATTAATATATCTAATATCATTAATTCATTGAAGATTAACATACTTTCATCATTATGAATTCTTTTATTTTTTTTTTCATCACTTCTACTTGAAACAAATGTATTGTAAAATTTACTTTTGTAAGAATACAATGTCTATAAAAACTTCAACAAACATTCGTCAACATCTGATTACATTGGTTTTTAGGGTAAAAGATATCAAATATTTTACCTTGATGTTTTTATGTAGAATATCTTGTATAATTAATTGTCAAAATATCGAAAGATATTCATGTCCATATAAAAGACTATATTTCAATTTTACATAAAAACATACAATTTAGAATGAGTGTTCGTATGACATAATAATAAGTTTGACAATGTTCGCAGTTTTGTTGATTTTCAATGAATTGTTTTTCAAAATAAGAAATGTTAATTTGATATTATTGAAATAGCTTTTTATTAATGAAAAAAAAATGACAAATTGTCAAGTTTTATTTATTTATATCTGAATACTATAAAAAAATATGGATACTAATATGCTATTTGTATTGTCCCTGTTTTTGTAAAAGATTTCAATAGAATACTCATGGAAAAATTCTTCCGAAAAAAACCGCGGTTTTGTTCCGCATTTTGAAAAACCGCGAAAGTCAGACCATTTATGCGTCTTTTAAAAACTGGTTGAAACCGCGGTTTGTAATATCGCGGTTAGACCGCGGTTTTTTTCTTGAAAAATTTTTCCGTAGGTATATTGCTTCGAAAGATAAAATCGATTCTCGAGATGAAAGAGAAATCTGCCAACAATAAATTGAAATTTTGTATTTGAAAACTATTCAGTTAGTTTAAGCAATTTCACATATTTATACAATTATCCAAGCATTTGCTGAAGTATGGGTGTAATCATGAACACACTTTAAAGTTCGACGAAGTCAAGGGGGACAAAGCGAGACTCTCGTACTCCGGAGTCTACCTGGAGTACGTACTCACTAGACTCCAACTTTGAAGCCTCGCTTTTTTTCCTCTTGAACAAAGTTCATATTCGGATATTTTTTTGAATATCGTTAACATTTTCTTATAGGATGCTCGTATTCCTTCCATTTTTGAATCTTTCATATTGACTTACCACTAGACCCCGTCGGGTAGGACCCGGACCCGCACGGGTCCGGGTCCAAAAATTTTACTTTGGCCGGGTCCGGGTCCAAAAATTTTATTTTGACTGGGTCCGGGTCTGGGTCTGAAAATTTTGCTTTAACCGGATCCAGGTCTGAAGAAAACTTTGATCCATACAATTTATTTTGAATTTTTTTAAAGTTTTGTTCGTTTTATACAAAGAAGAGGTCAAATGTATTTAGAAAATAGATAAAAAACAACAAAACCCTTCTTGACTATACTATCTAAACTGACTTGTCATTGTGTTTGGATCCAAAAAATTTAAGCGACCGGGTCCGGATCCGGGTCCAGCAACCTGTAAACGGGTCCGGGTCCGGATCCGGGTAGAAAAATTTTAAATGATCGGGTCCGGGTCCGGGTCCGGGTCCAAAAATTCTGGACCCGACGGGCTCTACTTACCACAGACAATCCTAAAGTACTTTCTTTTGAGCTTACTTCAAGGTCATTTTATTAATTAAGTAAAAATGATTGCAGTCATGATCTTACTCAAACATATGTAATAACATGATAGACATAATTTATAAATTACTAACAAAAAAAACAAAATCAAGATAAAAATCCACAAAATATTAATCTATAATAAAATATTTTGTATCACAATTTTTTTAGTTATTTTTAATGTACTTTGTTTACATAGATTCATTATCACTTGATTTACTTTTCAATCGTTGTTGTTGATTAGATGACGTTGAAATATTTAATTCTAATTTATCATTTACATTTAATTGAGTATAAATATAATCAGTTGATTTATTTATATTTGATTGATAAATATATATTGTTATAATAAATAATATTAATGCCATAAGAGTTTCACCAGCAATAGTTATATTACATAATAATGAAAAATTCCATGGAGGTTCATATAAATAATGACCACCACTAATCATTGACATAAAACAATATAATGTTACAATAATTAACATATAAAAAGATTGTATTTGTTTATTTGTACAAGATAATAATAATTTTCGTGTTGCAATAATAAATATAATAGATAAAGGAAAATTAAATATAAATGTTTGTTCCATTTCACTAATATATTTTTTTATATAAAGATATTTTGGTTCAAAATATGCAGCTGGATCATATATATTATGAATATAATGTAAAACATGAAAAATAATATTTAATAATAATATTATTGGTACAATTATTCTATAAAATATATTAGATTTTAATATTAATTTATATTTATTATAAGTTAATATTAAATTAATTAATGTACATATTCCAATAATTAAACATATAATTAACATTAGAATACGAATTAATGGAAGATATTTCAATGATTCAGATATAAGTACATCTTTATTACGAAGAGTACTTCGTCGAAATATTGGTTCAAAATTAATTGACATCGATGAAGAATACATAACTATATATCTCAAAAATAAACTGTATAAATCACAAAATAATATCAATCATTTTTAATATTCTCGATTTAATATGTAAGATTTATTTCTATAGATAAGTTTTTTCAATAGATGCAATATTCTTAGAGTCCTACATCGGAGTAATCGTGAGAAGGTTTTTGTTTTTTTATTTCTCGCAATACAACAGTTAAATATTTTTGTGCTCTAAAGTCGAAAGTTATTTTTCTTCATAATATAGCTCTTCAAAATGCTAGAAATATTTCATAAGTTAAATCATTTATAATTCAAATGATAAAGAGCGTGATGAGAAATGCGAATCAATATCGAATTACATATAGTGAAGCGACATCTGAATTTGATAAAACATCAGAAAAAAAAATTGCAATAGAAATAAATTAACATAAGATTTTATTTTTAGAAGAAGATAAGTTTCATATAAACGATGCCGCTACACTAATATGATTTTTTTAAAAAGAGTACAACAGATTTTATACGTGAGAAGAAAGCAAATCTAAGATGCCGCTAAAATTAACTCTCTAATTTTAGTTGATCAGAATTCGTATTAAAAATACATTTCATATGTTGATAAAAAAGAAATTTTCACAAAAGATATCTTTAGAAGTGCATCAATGAGTTTTCAGTTCGACACTTATTTAATGATTTATTTATATGTGATCAAAGACTAACTTGCAAAATTTCAAATAATAAGACAAAGTCCAACATTTACCTCTAATTTATGAAGATAATATTTTTTATCACTAGATATTATAGTTACTCGTTATGAAGTATACTTCTATGCACTTAACAAAAATTTGTCAGTGCGATTCCATGATGTGCTAAAGTATGGAACACACACTTTGCCTGTCATATATTTGTGGCATGTTGTCAGGGAAATTGAATTAATTTACTTAAAAGTAGTGGCAAATAAAAAAATCACTATTTTGTTAGTTTATTAGATTCATTTAACATTGTTATAATGGAAAGATATGATTTATATTGTCTTATTTTATTCTTCATTTTGTTGGTTCAACCATCATATGAGCCTGCTATACATGCTGTATTAATTGTTCAGTAAGCGTCTGAGCATACCATTCGTATTCTCGACGAACTCTGACATATACTCTTGAATTTTGTCTAAAATTCGAATTCAATTAGTTCATAATTTTCTGTGCCCATTCTATTTCGGCTCTGCTAGATCAATAATGCCACCGCTCTAATGAATGACACCTATAATACAATCGTTTCGTTGCATGAAATACTAGAGTCCGCAATAATTACACTAATTAGAATTTACCGTAGAAATTTTAGATTCACAGAATGCTTTGATAGGTTCTAAAATATCTAAGCGCGATTATTACTGATGCATCTTTTCTCCATTGCCATGAGAACGTATCAAAAAACGTTTGGCTGCTAGGACTTGTGGTAAGCCAGAAAAACTTCGATTTGCACTTTCACTCATCATATTTTCTTCGTAAATTTTACAAAAAAAGGAAACAATCTTGCTAGGAAAGATTTTTTTTTTACAACGTAGTATTTTAATCAACTATTTCTTTTTTGTTCTTTTATTTCATACACGAAAAAAAAAATCTCCATGAATTGTCGTTTCAAATAGTCATTTACTTATTGAAAATTATAATAATATTATGCATTTTATTCAGTTATTAATTTTATTAAAAGTAATAACATACAATATACAAGATGATCATATACAAAAAAATATATATATATCTACAATATCTTGTTTTATTTTTATGATTTGAATAGATGATCATCATTTAAAAACGATCACCAACTTTTGATCGTCCAAAACCATCTAATGAAACTTTTCTTTCATCTAAATCATCAAACCATTTATCTATACCACCCATTAAAATTTTTACAATATACTTTAAACAAAAATGAAGATTTTTAATAATTTAAATCAATAATTTTAACTTACATCACCAAAACTAAATGGAAAATCATTTCCTTGACATTTTAATATTTGTTTTTTTTCATTTCGATAATCATCAACAACATCTAAATTTGGAATTTCTTTATCCCAATCATCTAAATAATCCATTGATTGATCATCATCTAACATAATATAAATTATTTTATTTTTAAATATATATTCATATATTCTAATCGATGTAATGTTTTGTTATTTACCTGTACAAGCAATAATTGTTACAGGAATTCGATTTATTGGTTTACGTTCATCTTGTAAAACTTTTTTAAATGTTAAAATATCCTGATAACCATCATCATTAGTTGGTACTCCATCAGTTGCTATAAGTATAAGTAAATTACGTTCTTGAATTTCACGTTGTTTATCATGAAGAATTTTACGAACAACACGTGTAAGTGGAGTAGGACATAAAATGATTCAAATAAAAAAAAAAACAAACAACAATATTATGTCAAGATGAATTATTTCGTATAGAATACCTTCTGGTGGTACAGCAAAAATAGGAATTAATTCTGATGAATTTCTTACATTAAAAATTGGATCTCGATTAAGAAAATAAATATCAACACCATTTGGATCGAGAGAACTTGCTAGATCAACAACTATTGAAACTGTTTGTTTAAGTTCATCCCCTATGAATGTTAAAAACTAATAAAACATTTATGATAACTAAAAAAAAAAGAAGATTTATTTTACAACGAGTAGGTGAATTATTAAAAGGACCAAAAACATCACCTAAATATATATATATATATTGTTAGAATTATTTAAAAAGAAGAATATTTTACCAAGTGGAGTATTCATTGAACCTGAATCATCACAAACAAATACAATTTCATAACCATCTAATGCAAGTAATTTTTTAGCAAAAGTTTGATTAACTAGAAAATAAGAAAAAAATCTATTATAATCTATAGATAAACGGAAACAACAACAAAAGAAAAAAGAAAGTATTTACTTTCATAACGACGAACAAATTTTTGAAAATCAGGCAAACGTTGTTCACTAGATATAAAAGAATTTCGATTATTATTTTGTGTATTATAATTATACGATGATTTTGTTCGTGGATACATTCTTTCAATATAATGACAAAGGAATAAATAAAAAAAGTAACTGTACGAGACATTTTATAAGGAAGTACAGAAAAAATATATAAATAGTTGGAAAAAAAAGAGTATTGAGTCACATGTAAATCTTTTTGACAAAATCCACATTCGATTTAATGGATTGTTTATGACTTGAGTATAGAACAGAAAGAAAAATTTTTTGTAGGCTTTTATATGATAGTCAAACTTTCATCTTGTACTATTTGTGATTGAATTATTTGTATGTTTGCGCATTATGTAAAAGAACCAATTTTTATGTATTTTGTGACAAAAAAAAAGAAAAAAAAAGTTTTTATTAAACATACAATTACTATATAAATATATATTTCTATTTTTTGAGATACTTTTATAATAAATTACATAATTACTCTGTGTCTTGATTTAGAAAAAGTATTGTCCTGTTAAAAAACATACTGTTCTCATAGATAAATAATAGTTACACACAATCGTTTTTCGTAGAGAGTAAATTCCAATGGAGTGTTCGATGATTGTCGAGATTTTTATGTGGATTTTTTTTTGAATGACATCTAATACAAAACATAACTGTTGCTTGTTGTGAAAGACTAAAGTTTAATATTCTAGTCTGTTCAGACTTGCTCATATAATATTCTCGGTTGCAATTCTTGATTTTACCGGTGAAAAAACAGATGCGTTTAATATAGTCAATTAAGTAATCAAATTCTTTCGAGAAACAATCTATGACTGTAGTTCTACGAAGGCATACAATGTAAAACTCATATGACCCTTCATAATGGATAAGTTTGATCTATTCGGATTTATATGAAATAGTTATTTAACATAGCTGAAAGACATCTCAATTCGTAGAAGGATACTATTTCCGACAGAAAAATAAGATGAACTGAAACGTATGATTATTATATTAAACTTTCTATTTTAAGGTTTCTTATTATCTAAATATTTTCAAGGTTGGATGATTCTAGTATTTAGCAAAATCTTGATAATAGAACAGTATGTTTATTTTTTTATTTTTGGATATTTTGTAATGAAAACAGCAACTGAAAACTACTAACTATTACGATTTTATGATAGTTGATTAAAAAATAGGTTAGAGAAAGGTATACGAAATTTCGAGGTGAAAAATCTTTGGTTTTGGTCGAAATAAACTTTTAATAAACATTATAAATTCATGCAACAAGATTCGAGACTCTCATTCTACAATGAAAGTGTTTGCTCAATATCTCGAGCTGGAAGTTTGTCAATTGAAAGTTTTCATGCTCATATCTCTTGATCATTAATATGATAGAAATCATTCACAATCAACAAAATACGTTTAACTTTAGTGTCGAAGAATTTATTTAGATTGAGAACAATTAAATGGTAAATATTGCGATAGTGTTACTACAAAAACCGATTGTCAGATGGCAATACAATTGTCTGTTATGATAAGGATCATCTATTCCGCACATTTTTTTTTATCTCTTCGTTGTAAGCTTAATCAAATGTTGTATGCGCTATCTTGATTGAATTTTTTCTATTTTATGAAACACAGCTGATACAATCAAAAACTCTGTGTTAATTTAAGCTTTTCTTGTATGAAAAATTTTTATATTATCTCTATATGTTTTAATGTAGGTCAGAAAAAGTGTCTTGTTGACATCTATGATACAAAAGTCTTATCGCATATTTACAGCAGCATATTATAATAGAATTTAGTTCATATTATAGTTTAATATATGACTAATAAAATAAAGCGAAGTACATTTCTGTTCGAAGTATTTTTATCATGATATACTTCAATATCATTACAAAAATGTGTGAATCGTATGTGTTTGATGTCAATGGTGATAAATAGAACTACAATAATTTGTCATAGTCGTCATACGGCCAACATAAAAAAAAAACAAATGTGAACTGATCGAGTTATAACTTTAGGAAAATAATCAATATCGATGTTAAGACCTGTAGTGAATAAAATGACA